CCCCAAAACCCCAAAACCCCAAAACCCCTCTCAGTTTGAAGAAAATAGAATTATTAAATAAATGGAAGCATTTAAAGCCCCAGAGATACAGAGAAAGAAGACTATAGTCAAAGCGACTCACAAGAATGTACTCAGGAAATGTTATTTGAACTTACAAAAGAATTTCAGTGACAACAATAATGATGATATGCCTGGAATCAACTTGTTTAATTCAGATTTTAATTTCTCCTTGCCCAAGAGCACTGAGATAGGAGTAAACGCTGATTTTACATGGAATAAGATTGTCAAGGCTGCTATTGCCAGGAAAGCAAAGTCCATCATGGAGCCTCCCACTACACAAGAGATGATAGGTAAAGGACTCATCTCTGATCTTGGTACAAAAATATAACTTCAACATCTTATTTGTTTATAGATGCTCTATCAGATGAGTCTGATGATGAGGACTGAGATTTCAGGAGAATGGAGTCTACTTTGACTGGAAATGTAAGACCAGAGTATAACGAAAAACCAGAGATTAAGAGGATTCATTCACATTCTTGGAATGCTTCAGGTAAGCGTTACGATTTAACTTAACTGAATCAAAATAGGGAATCAATTCTCAGAATCTCCTAAAGTACAAAGTGGCTGGAATTCTCCAAGATTATGCGAACTCTACCCTGATATTAGCATCAATGACTTTGAAATAATAAAATTCATCGGAAGAGGCTCATTCAGTGTTATTAACCTTGCTAATTTTACCAAGGATAATCAGAATTACGCTCTCAAACAGTGAAGAAAAGAGGATATTTCAAGGTCTAATAAAATAACAAACTTGATGAGAGAGAAGGACATTCTATCTGTTCTGGATCATCAAAATATGATCAGACTTGAGGAAACCTTCCAAGATGATACTAACCTCTATTTCTGCTTTCAATATTATCAATATGGAGACTTGTCTGCTCTTATTAGGTCTAAAAAGAAGTTGAATCTTGACCAGACAAGATTTTATGCAATGGAACTTATAAATGCTCTCGAATATCTCAGAGACCTTAATATTGTCCATAGAGATATCAAGCCAGAGAACATTATGATTGACAATAACTTTCATTGAAAGCTGGGTGACTTTGGCTGCGCCAAAGTCATCGATCCGGAAGCAGTCAAGGAAGAAATCAATCAGAAATGTGGAAAGGAAAATGATGTTTTCGAAGTAGAGCAGAACTATGAATCCTTCTTTGATTCTACTGATGATACTGATAATGATTTTGATATACCTGGAGATTTCAAGCAAGCTACCTTTGTAGGTACACCTCTGTATATATCTCCAGAGATGCTAGAGCATAGTATCGCTCACTTTTCTTCAGATCTATGGAGTTTAGGCTGAGTTATATACCAATGCCTTCTTGGTTATCCCCCATTCAAAGGCTCAACAGAAAGAATAGTTTTTGAAGAAATTTTAAATTGACAGATAGAAATACCAATCGATATTGATGCAGCAGCGGAAGACTTAATTCTAAAACTACTAAGCATCAATCCCTTAGAAAGACTAGGTGCTGGTGAAGAAGGCTCTATCAACGACTTTGAGGTTCTCAAAAGCCACGTTTTCTTCAACGGGTATGACTTCAACGACATAAACAACCAAAATCCCCCTATAGAGTCCATCCTACATACACAATTATCCCAAGAAGACGACTACGACGACCTAATTTTCTCTCCTGAGTAGTCACATATCACCTAAATTCAATAAATCTAACCTCTCAAGGGGTTTTGGGGTTTTGGGGTTTTGGGGTTTTGGGG